CCACCTGTCATCCTCTCTAGATTGCAGGTCCCCATTCTGTTGGAAGTCTCTCTCACAGCACAGATTATCATCGGTTCTGCAGGTGGCCTGGGCGTTTTTAGGAGACCAGCAATTCAGACCTTTTAAGTTCAAGATCAAGATGTTCCCAGAATCAACACCAGTCTCTGAGTACCCAGTGTTAAGGTCAGTAAAGAAAAAGTACTCAAGTCTTGGATGACAGAATTACCAACTAGACACTCAGATCTCGCTTCACGCCAGGTGCTTAAGCCCCGGGTCTCTCGTAAGTGTACCAGGAGGCTAGAGTGGACGGAAATCGGAGGAATGACAGCTACGTGGGCAGGGCAATGCGGAGCTGGGTGTGACCTTTCACACATCGAGGCTGCTTGCCACTGGTCCCGTGTCGGAAGCAAGAACAGCAGGAAACCTGTGGCGCTTACAAGAACTCCTGCAGAACAAAAATTGCTGTTAGGATTTGTGTAATACTCCAGAGAAATAATGACTAAACAGATTCCATTTATGATGACTAGGGAGAAGAATCTAGAACAAAAGAAATGGGCCATTACATGTCGAGATTTTCTTCCCCTGATGCAATATACCTTTCTGGTAGCTGCAAGTTCCCTTATTAGAACCTTGGCTCCTGGTCGGCTGCTTGTGTTCTCATTGGGCGTCACTACTGAAGAACACCTTCCACGCGGCTCTGCTGAGGGATCCGCCGGCGCTGGCAGCGCAGGTGTGGAGACAGAAGCCACGCTGTTCTCAGAGAGGAAGGTCTGTTTCACCACAGCCCTCACCGCACCACTGAGAGGCTAGAAAGCGTGCTTCTCACACGCAGTGTTCTCAGAATCCCCATCAATCATTTGTGTAGGTTTCTCTCACCAGATTCCACCTGGCCTCTGTTTTAGAACACTCGGTTTTAGGGGATTCACTTAGTGGGGTGTTCTTTTTTTATCACAATGGAAGCACTAGCTATCTCCATCAACACTGTGCAGTTTTGATGTGAGCGTCATGGAGAAGTAAAACCATGCTTAGAAATGCTGGCTTCCTAAAGGATCGGTTACATATAAGTGAGAGTATATGACAATCTATCAGATCCTTGGCATCTTTGTTTTTCTTTGACCTATCGGCATTTCTAAAATTTGAAAAGCGGTTGCTTCTTTCAACAAGGTCTTAATGGAACAGTCTATAATTTCCAGGAAAGCAAGTTTGTTGACTAATCTTGAAAACTGGAATTTTTTAGCTGTTTGTTTTTTGTTTTTGTTTTTTCCATTCTGTGCCCAAAAGAGACAAGCATAAATCCAAAAAGGTATACTACTCAGAGGGTGTTAGTAGAATTTCATGAAAGAGAAATAGAGAAGGCACTCACATGCCATCCAAGAATACAATGGTTAATTTCATCTCTCCACTTGATTAAACATCAGCAGGACACGCCATCCAGAATACATTGGTTAATTTCATCTCTCCACTTGATTAAACATCAGCAGGAAAGATTGCATCCCGAGGTAGTCTGATGAAGGGTGAATCATTACCCACTTGTACTCTGTGGTTTCGGTGAAACATCCACACTGGCCGAGAGAAGTGAAGGGCCAATTGTCTGCCCCCAAGAATAGAGGGGGACTTTCCTTGCCTTGTCTTGACAGATTGTCTACATCCAACAAATTGACTACATAGTTCCCTAACACTCTGCTACAGGAAGGGCCCCAGCTGTCTGAGCTCCAGGAGCTGAATGAGACTCAGAGAGGGAGGTTTCCTGCCTCTCTGATGGACGAACAACTATGCACTGTCAGTTTGGTGTGAAAGTCAGTGGTTATGTCTGCATTTATTCCAGCGCAGGGCTCTACCTCCAAGCCTAGAATAAATCATGGCGCGTAGCAGTGGCTCAGTAAACACTTATTGATGGGATGTGTTTTCAACCTAAAGCAATGATGTGTGCATAGTCACTCTGCAGCCTACTGGAAGGGGCCCAGCCCTGCCTTCAAAGATGCTATTAGGTATGAAACAGGACTCCATACTGCCATCAGGTCTCCAAGAGCCACACACCATCCAAAATGCCATGTGAGTCTGGGAAGAAATCATAGCCAGGTGTGAATGCCTATGAAAATCAGCTCCACAGATTGGCCAGAAGAATTCTGCCTCAGTCTACAACTCATCTCAGTGGGTCTTGGATTTCTCATTTGCACAATGAATGGAATTCCGGCAGGATGGGAACCAGAGTCTGAGTCAGGGTCCCCTTTGTTCTTGCCTGGGTTTGCCTTTGGGGGAGTTAGAACCCAGATTCAATACTGATACTGGTGGCTTGTTCTGACCGAACTTGACTCTCATGTTCCTGTTTCATGAAAAGCTGTTAATGTCATCCTCTTTCCTTTGTTCTTTGTTTGCTTGTCTACTTCCTATCTGGGGTCCAGGCCCAAAAGGCAAAGAGTTTCCAAGGGTTGCTTCAGAAACTTTTTCTCGGGTTCTATCTTCTGACCCGAGAGCTTACTTTTTACATGGCAAATTGAGTAATGTTTAAATTGTGTAAGTTAAGCCAAAAATGTAGCCAGAAAAGTATTAACCAATGATTCTAACGACTTTCTCTGTTCCTTATACTAGGCCAGGAATCACAGGTAAAGACTCAGAATAAGAGCGGACCGATCCTTGACCATAGGTGGTTGGACCTTGCTTACAGAGGGTGAGAGGGCCTTGGAGGACTCCTTGCTTGTGGGCTCAGACCGAATCTCTAGAAGGGAAGTGACTGACTATGACCAAATACACGATGAGGCATAGGTTATCTAAAATCTGGTAGCAGTGCCTTGCGCCCCAATTAGACAGGAAGCGAAGTACAACTGGGGAAGACGAAGCTGATAGCTGCAACCTAGTTCTTGTTCAGAATCACACGCTACCTTTATGGCCCCAGTTAAACAGAGGCATGAGTCATAGCCAGAATCAAAGACACAAATCTATCTAGAGCAGTGGGCTTGCAATCTACCATGTCCAGGAAACCGGGGACCTCTCTTTAGCCGCAATCTACAAAGTGCAAGCTACAGAAAACATGGATATCTCTTCTACACATTACTTGGTCATTTCTTCTGGATTTCTACATTATTTCTGTACATTCCCTCAAAACACTTGGCACCTTTTGGCCTGCAACCTCTATAGAAGCCTAGATAATAAAAACAATAGAAAACCAGACTTATGTAATTATTTTCCAAAATAACTAGCTTCTTGGGGGAGGCCCCTATTTTCAAGAAAAAGTCCCTTTTCCAGCCTATGATGAAGGTGAGAATTTAGCTTCTCAACAACAAAGTCACTGAAGGTGTCCCCTAGGATGGCTGCTGTAATTCACCTCTGTAAACATCTAGTTTCACCACGACTCGGTCAACGTATATTCTGATCTCAACTTCCAAGTCTGAGAAATAAAAAGTAAACAAGTAAATTGATACAAAACATGACAAGTATGTTCAGGCCCTCGATCCAGGGTCATTTAAATATATGACATCTTAAAGGATATCATTGTCCCAATCCACGTCCCCAAACCAGGGGATGAGTACAGCCAGGGGCAGAGGTGACAAGAAGGGGGGCTGTCTCTGAGGAACAAAGTAGACGGATCGTTACATCCAGCACCATAGCTGGAGGGCTGGCTGGTCACCGTGTGTTTATCTCTGGCCCAGACACCGAGAGAGAGTCATGCTTCAGCATCTATTTTCCAGGAGCCGGGGCCGCCTTTGCTCAGAAGTCTAGGGAGCCCCTCACACCAGTACTATGAAGCCGAGGCTTACAGCTGGGAGGGAAATGCTTTGAGCCATGAAGTGTCAAGAAGGATCCTCTGTTTTGGAGCCTGCCTATGATCCTGGTCTATGCCACACTGACCCTCCCTGTGCTGGTAGGAGCTTCAACGTTGTTGGTCAGCAGCAAGGAGAGGAGAGAGGACATCCCACCAGGCGAAGGCTCAGTGACGTGGTCTGTGCGCTCACAGGGCAAGATATCCCACATAAAACTGCGGAGCACAGCCTACCTCAAGCTGCAACCACAGAAGCACTGTGAACGGCCCTGCGCAGCCGCTCGAGGAAATAGCTCCAGTCTCACATGAGCCTTTTAAATGACCCCAAAATGTCATTTTGAATCTATCACCTAATCAAGGCTTCCCTAAACCGTGGTCAGAAAAACACAAGATTTAGTTACAGGGATTGAGACGTGTGGTCTCCTTCTGGTCCCCAAATTGGGACGAAAGCACTTAAACATTTATAGCCATAAAAACAGACGAAATCTCTCAACTAGAAATGAACCATCTAATAGCAAGTGAAGAGCCCTGGACAGTTTGGCTCAGCATTTAGAGTGTCAGCCCTCGGACCAAAGAGTCTCGGGTTCGATTCCAATCAAAGACATGTGCCTCGGTTGCAGTTCGATCCCCGGCTCTGGTCAGGGTCACCTGAGAAGCAACCAACCGTTGTATCTCTCTCACCTCGATCTCTCTCTCTCTCTCTCTCTCTCTCTCTCTCTCTCTCTCGTCCTCTCTCTCTCTCTCTCTCACTCCCTCCCTCCCACTCTGTCTAAAAATCAATGGAAAAATATCCTCAGGTGAAGATTTTAAAAAATAAAATAAGAGGTAAAGAAAGACTGCAGGTGCATGGGTGGGGTGATAATGAAAACATTCCAATTTTAATTATAACATCTATTTTCAAGATCTATTTAGTTTCGACATCTATTTTCCCTGAGGAACAAGGTAGACTAGTAACTAATTACTGGCCAAGGGAGATACCTAAAGTTGATTAGACACATGTACGTATCAGCTTAGCTCTAGGAGCTTTTCAGATTTTATTTCAATACATTTCTACTTTAGAGCTAAGGAAACAGGCTCAGAGAAGTTAAATTACAGTTAACTACTTAGTGTCTTTATTTCTGCCCTAGAAAAGGCTGTTGGCATGGAAGGAGCTTGAACTCAGATGTGATCCTGGTTTGCAGCTGATGTTTAATCATGTGGAGCCACGGGGTGGGACCCAAGGCTTTGGTCCCAGTTCATACATTTAGAGATTCCAGGCGGTTCTCATCATGACGATGAAATACACATCGGTGTCGATGGACGCGCTCACCCCTGCATAGTAGTTCATAAACTCCTCGGGGGTCACCTGCAGAGGAAAAGTTAGAAACAAAAACGAAACTTTGCTTCTCACCCTGTCGGTGGGGGCCCATCTCTGGAACCTGTAAACGAAAGGGAGATTTCAATCAAGAGAGCTCTCAGTGACCCGGCTGAGGAATAGAGCCGACCCAAGGAAAAGTGAAGTTCTGGACGGTGGTGACCGGCAGCATAGGCAAAGGGAGGGAGAAAGTCTTGCAAATTTCCAAACCGGTAACTCAAACGGAAAGTGAGATACAGGTTCTCTCTTTCTGTGAGAGCAGAGGCCCATCTGTTCAGATGAGTGAGCTGAAACTCAGAATAAAAATCACAAGTTTTTACTGTAGTTAATGCTATCTCTCTGTGACAGGTCGGAAAAAAACATCTCGGGTCCTTGCTTCAGGGCGAGTGATGCTTTTACCTTTCAAAGCCGTGCTGTCCTGTGGGTGAAGAAACAGGTTTCTAGTTAACCATTCCATGGCTTCATGCTTTGCAAAGATACAGATTACTCATTCAAGGCTCAGAATGGGTGGTAAACAGAAAAAAAAAATACCCCATGCTTTATTTCTCCCCACCCCCACCCCCAGGTTTCTCTCTCTGTCCTATGCCTGTAACTGTCTCTTTAGAATATCAACTCTTTGTATTCGTGCTCGGATTCCACTGCTTCCTGGTGAACAAGTGTAGGTGACACTACAGCCACCATGTTGCCTGACATGATAAGTAGGTTCAGAGAAAAGAACTGTCCTCTTGTTTGGTGTCTACAACCTGTCACTTCAGCCCCAGGTTCGCCCTGCTGTACCGAAGGACACAGTAGTGCTGGTTGTGTGGGAAACGGATTGCTCTCTACGTAGCCCTCGATTTCAAGTGTCATTGGGGATTTAAAAGATCACAAAAAGTGAAATCCATAAAAGCTTCGAAACCCCTTTGTGCTCCATAACAGCAAACGGCTCCCACTGAGCACCCGCCTGTCTCTTCCAAGAATCATGGGAGCTGAGCGACCCACTGACTCTTTTTGCTGACACTATAAGTAAACCTACCTCTACCACCACCACCCCCAAATAGTAAAAAGCAGTAGGAAGAAAGGCATCATCCTGAATTAACAGTGAAGCTGCGTTTATCAGTGGTCTGGGAGTAGAAATCAGTGATCTATGTGCATAGGTTTTATGGAAATTAGAAGGCTATTAATGTCCTGCTTTCTTGAATTTCTTTATTTCTTCCCTTTGCATCCCCCACTTCTACAGCATTAAGCCCCGCCTGTACGTCAGACTCCATGGAACCAGACGTCAGAGCTAATGTAGTTGGCCATTTCAGGAAAGGTCACAGGTTATTCTCAGAGAAGTGTCTGCTTGTTTCCTGAAACTCAACTTGTACTGGGCATGGCCTGAACCCAGATTCTGTGATGTGCCCATCAGTGTGCCCTCATCATAGTAAACTACTTGTCAGTAATAATAGCCATCGTTGATTAATTATTTTGTTTGGCATCAGAGAAAACGAGAGAATGGGCAGCCTGGGTTTGGCAGGCCACCCTCGACTGGCGGAGTGTATGTTGTGCACAACAGGAGGTCCCGGGTCGGGGCAGTAGAGACCCTTTTCCTCAGCTGCAGCCTGATTAGAAAACAATCATAAAGTAAGTGTGGGTTATCGATATGCACTCCATCAGATACTTAAAGTATTTTTAATCACTAAAAAATTTCTATATGAGCCCTGGTCAGTTTGGCTCAGCGGTTAGAGTGTCGGCCTGCGGTCCGGAGAGACCCGGGTTCGGTTCCCGCTAAGGGCACGTACTTCGGTTGCAGTTTGTCCCCGGCCCTGGTTGGTCGTGCGGGCGGCAGCCACTCGATGTGTCCCTTCACGTCGATGTTTCTCACTCTCTCTCCCTTCCTCTCTCTCCCACCCACTCTACCTGTACAAAAAAATGGAAAAATATCCTCGGGTGAGGAAAATTTCTATATGAGATCAACTCATATTCCCTCAAAGGCTAATGTAGTCCTACAAGATTTTTTTAAAGTATGTATAATTATAACATTCACACATGGAACTTCAAAACCTAGATATTTAAACAATAAGAAGCGCCAGTCTGCCCCAGTCAGGGTGGGGTTTGGGAGTAGAATCAAACTGAGACTGGGCTGCATCACACATACTCGGCTGCTTTCGTATCTCTGTCCAAAAGGCTTCCGTGCCCAGGCCGCCCAGAGAGCTGAGTGAGGGTGCGAGGGCGGGACCAGCCAAGCCCCTGGCGACAGCAGCCCAGGGACCTCATGCTACGAGACAGCTAAGCCTACATTATGGAAAGTTCACAAATCTGAACATTAGTCTTGGCTAAGGAGCATGCTCACTTTCTTGTCTTATCCTAAATTCTGTCCTGTTTGGATTCCAACGATATTTTTTAAGCATTAATGACAGCACGGACTTCAAGTGTAGCTACAACTTCACCAGGAGAAGTCTTAATGTGTAAAACAACTCACCATGACCATGATAAAGTAGGGGATGATTATTCTCTTATAAAAGAATTTACCATGGAATCCCTTGACATCGGCAGGTCCATGTGTGTTTAAACTATGATTCAGTGTACAAAAGTTGAGATCACGGGTCATTTTTAGGAAATATTTCTTTATGTCTAATCAATGAGCTATCCCTGACAAGCCCTTAACACGTTGCTCAGTAGATAGCAAGTGTTCAATAAACGATGCCCAGATGCGAAATGAGGTTAAGCATATATTATATTTAGTAATTAAACACAGGCACTTCTGAATCTCTTAGAGGCGAGAATCTTACACATGAATGTGAATGAGAGTCATCAGGGGCACTTACTAAAGCTATAAATCCTTGCGCTCCACCCCACTAAAAAATCCGATCCTGTAGTTCTGCGGTGCAGCCAGCAATTTGCATTATTAATACAAACCCCAAATGACGATGGTGCACCGTCAGAGCGAGGTATCAACACAGAGCCTGAAACGGCTGAAAACCCGTGACCTTTAGGAGCGAGCTCAACGTGGCACTTTAAGATAAATGTCGAAAGGGCCGGGGTGGGCGCTTCAAACAGCTGAATCATAACAACGGGCTGCATTGACGGGGTACAGCGAAGAGCAGCTGAGGTTTCTCCTGACACCAAGAGGAACCACCTGCAGAAAGGCGGCAAACACGCCCTGGGATCCCATGCAGCGCTGGGCTAATTTGGGGAAATGGCAGTTGACTATTTTTCCACTGCTCTCTCACAGATCAAAGACCAGCGATATTAGAAGAAAACACCGAGTTCTGTTATTTCTGTCCCTAAGCACTGGGCTGCTGGATGGAATGTGGGACCCCCACACCCCCTTTTTTAATCCACCTCTGCAATCCCTTCGGTCTAAACTGGAGAGCATTTCTCTGTCCCTGGCAGGAAAATGTCAGTAGAAAGAAAAGAAAGTTCTCCTTTCTATCCCCCTTGCTAACAGGACTCACCATGAAGTTTCTTGGAAAAAGCTGGGGGAAATTCCCTTCTGAAGGGGAAGGCTTGCTTCCTCTTCCTATCACCACCGTCTCTTCTTCCCGCCCACTGTCCCGCTAACCCTTCTGGTGTGGCACAGGGGTTAGGGTGGCCTCCTCGGGGTTCTGCTGCTGCCTCAGCCCAGGGGGGAGTCCCTCCCCCATCACCTTAGCCTCAGGACACCTAAGAGCAGAACTAGTTCTGGGCTCACAAGTCCATACATGGCTGTAGATAAGACACATGACACTTTGGTCTCAGCCTAAACGTAATTATGACGATATAATTCCTAACCCTACCAACCTCTGCATTTGTAACTTTAAGATAACAGTTCATAGAGAGAGAGGGTGGTTGCTTTTGTCCTTTTTTTACTTTTCTTCTCTTTTTTCTGGGGAAACATGGGTTAAGAAAATTATGTTGGTTTCAGGTGTACAATACTATAATACATCATCTGTATATTGTAGTGTGTGTTCACCGCCCCAAGTCAAGTCTCCTTCCTTCACCATTTATCCCCCATTACCCTCTTCTACCTCCCCCCACCCTTCCCTCCGGGCATCACCTTACTGTTGTCCGTGTCTATGAGTTTTGTTTGGTTTTTGCATAATCCCTTCACCCTCTCACCCAGTTCCCCAACCCCTCCCTCTGACCGCTGTCCGTCTGAGCTCTGGGTCTGTGAGTCTGTTTCTGTTTTGTCAGTTTATTTTGTTCATTACATTCCACGTGTAGGTGAGATCATGGGCACTTGTCTTCCCCGACTGGATTCTTTCCCTTAGCTGTCAGGGCACTGCACTCTAGGGATGCCAGTCAGTCTCACAGCCTAGAGATGACAGCACAGTCGGTCCTGCTCTGTGGCATCGCTGCCACTGAGAACTTCCCTTAAATGGCATTTCCACGGAGCGAAGTGTGATGACGAATCGGTGTGGTCCTGAACTGCCTTGAGATCATGTTCCACAAAATTGAATTATAGTCTCATTTTGAAATTAAATATGTTTTATTATAGTCTGACTTGTTGGAGAGTGGCTATTACCTGTGTATAGTAAATATGGCAACCATGAAATGGAATGTGTAATCAAAATACCACATTCTCGCCTGGCCGGTGTGGCTCAGTGGTTGAGCATTGACCCCTGCACCAAGAGGTCGCTGGTTCGATTCCCGGTCAGGGCACATGCCCAGGTTTTGGGCCCGTCCCCAGTGGGGGGCGTGCAGGAGGCGGCCAATCGATGTTCTTTTTCATTGATGTTTCTGTCTCTCTCTCCCTCTCCCTTCTTCTCTCTCTAAAAAAATCAATAAAATATTTAAAATAAAATACCAAAATACCACATTCTCTAGGTGATGGGTATTTAGTTGTATGAGGATCCCCTACTGGTATGAGTGTGTGTGCACACACACACACACACACTTTTTACTACTTTAGTTCTCCACTTTCTAGGTAGTCACTAAGGAAATATTTTACCTCTATTTATAACAACCATAATACAAGTATTTTTTAAGGCTTTGGACCTATTTCCTATCTATTTACAATTACAAATTGGACAGAAGAAATTCACTTAGATGAAGCTCTTTAACTTACCAATCCATCTTTGTCATAGGGCGAATCGAAGTTATCCAGAAATTTCCTGAATACTTGTTCCTCAGTCCATTCTCCATTCTGGTACTTTGGATGGTGTTTCGCATTGTACACCCCACGAAGGTCTTCGATTGTTATCACACCATCCCCAGTCTTGTCCAGCTTTCTAAAAGCTTGCATAGTCACCTCCTTTCTGGCTCTGGACATCGGAGGCTGGACAAAGAGAGGGCACACACGCAGACATACGCGAGCAATGAGCTATTTTGTATCACATGTGATCAAATATCTCACTCCTCTCGGTGATGGGCGACTGTGCACCACTGAGTGACAGGTCCTGCACTGCTCCCCAGGTCCCAGCCCATTACCATCACGGTGCACTAACGGCTTCTGAAAACAAAACCTCCAGGTAGCCACCCCAAACCACGTGAAAGTCAGCTCGTCAGACGCTGACTCATGGGCCACTGACCCTCAATGTGAGAAGAAATTCATTGAAGTCTATGGTGCCGTTGCCATCCCTGTCGAACCTCCGGAAGAGCTCCTCCGCCTCTCCGCCTTCCATGACCACCGCGTAGTCGTTCAAGCCCTTCACAAACTCTTTGAAATCGAGACTTCGGTTATTGTTGTCATCCATGATTCGAAACACTCTGAAGAAAATACACACACACGCACACACGTGCACGCACAATGTTAAAAACGCACAGAGAACAAGGTGTAGCATAAAGATTTAAAAAGAAAACTACTCTCGGGGTTTTTCAAGGTAAAATGCAAAAGCCTTCGGTTCTTCTCTGAACCCTCCTGCCGAAATTGGAGAGCCTCTTCCCAGCATCTCATAAAGAAAACAGACCTTTACAAATATATACGCCGTGTGATTCCAATCAAGTGACATTCTGGCAAAACTATAAAAACAGCAGAAAGACGGGGAGGCGAGAAAGCGGGTGAAGCATGGGGTTTCTAGGGGGGAAACTGTTCTATGGGACATCTCATGGTGGGTACGTGACATTAAATATTTGCTGAAGCCCATGAAAATTTACTGTATGAAGAGTAATCATTAGTGTACCCAATTTTAAAAAGTTCCTTAGGAGGCTGGGGGAGGCCCACAAGGAACGCAGGTTGTGACCAGTGAGTCCAACTAGTACAGTTTGAAACAAGGTCACGTAAGGGAGACAGTCACGAACCGTGGGAATGACTGGAGTCAGTGAGACTACAGGCGCCAGGAAGGCCACGTGAAGGCCACGTGAAGGCCACGTGAGCACTGCAGGAGTTGACGGAGACATTCCCCATGGAGGTGAGTTAACAATTCTGACATTGCTCTCCAGGCACATTGGAACCGAACGATTAAATAAATGGATGGCAGAGGGTGGCGGCCAGGTTTCTCGTTGTTGGAGTGGGAATTACTAGATAAGCCGAGGGAGGAGACTGGAAGGATCTGATTCATGTGTGATGGGGTAGTCACACACGTCAGCCTGAACTCAAGTTTAGTTGACTGTAAACGCAGACTGTTACTTATAAATATAGATGTGCAGGTTAATACACACACACGTATTTCCTTGTTCTGTCAGCTAAGAGCAACTAGAAGTAACGCCCCAGTAACAAGAAGCACATCTAGAGCCTAGACCTTGGCTTCTAATACAATTCTCCAATAAAAGGAGCTGGGCTTCGGCTGGTGCGGCTCAGGGGTTGGGCACTGACCCATGCAACCAAAAAAGGTTGCTGGTTCGATTCCCAGTCAGGGCACATGCCCAGGTTGTGGGCCCGATCCCCAGTGTGGGGCACGCAGGAGGCAGCCAATCGATGTTCTCTCTCATCGATGTTTCTATCTTTCTCTTCCTCTCTCTCTAAAATAAATAAATAAAATAATAATGTTTAAAAAAAAAAAAAAAAGAGTTGGGCTACTGAGAGAAATTGCTAAGTATCTTGTACCAGAAATTAAGAAAGTGCTTCGAACCCACAAACAAAACCCCGTATTGAGGGGGATACGTCAGTGGGGCACGGGAGCCAGAACTGGAACCGTTTGAGCAATGAAATAGTGTTGGATTATAACCCCAAGTATAAAATAAATACCCATGAGTCCATATTGGTATAAGTGAATGACTGAATAAATAAATGTGGGAGAAGAATTGTTGTTGAAGAATTCCAAATAAATTGCGTTTGCACTCTGCCCTCAGGGAAGGAAGCATCATCCCCACTCCCTCCGTTTTAGGGGCGCTTCACCGAGACTTCCTTCTGAAGAGTGCACTGCGCAAAGGGACAGGGAGTAACTTCACATTGGAGAAGCCGGACAAACACGATCTCAGGCAGGTGACCAAGGTCAGCATCAACACCAGCAGTGAGAAATCATGTTGACAGCATGGATCCTTGAGAAGACGCTGTGGTCCCCCCAAACAGAACCCAGTCTAATCAGAGAATAAAAGGGGAAGGAACCAGCGCTTGAGTTGAGCAAAGATGCAGGAACAGGCAAGACCAGTGAGGAGGAGGAGACAGAGGCCACGCTCCAGCAGAAGGCCAGGGAGGAGACAGTGTCTGCTCGCAATAAGCTGGTTCACATGGAGGGGCTGGCGGGTTAGGGCGGAGATGGTGTTGGCAGCGGGAGGGACTGGACTGAATGGCCCAGGGGTGGGAGAAAGGGCGTGGTCCTGAGGGTCTTCACCAAGGACAAGGGGGGTGACCGAAGAGGTAAAGACTGAAGGATAGGACACCTGAATCGAAGCGGGCTGGTCTTCCCACTGGACTGTGACAGCCTGGCCACCAGGGTCCGTATGCCCGCAGCCAGGGCTGTGACAGCTGGGCGTGGCCTGAGGTTGTGGGACTGTTGAAAATGACACTCCTGGTGCCCAGTTCCTGTGGGAAGCAAGCCTCCCACGGCCGTCAGGCGTGAGGTTTGGTTTCCCTGCCGTAGCACCCTGTGCTTTGCGGACCCAGCCTCTCACACTGCAGGTCCTGGTTTGGGCCCATCAGCCTCCGAGTCCGAACTCCTCATGAGCTCCGAGAAGCCGTGTTTACCGGTGGTGAGCCCCTCATGCCGTGCACACTGCCTGGCCCACGGCAGGTGGCCATCAGGGGGCTCACAAGTCCTTCCCCTTGGGCTCTGCAGCCCTGAGGACTCCTTGCCCTTTCAGAGGGCCGGAGACCGGGGCCTCCAGGCTGGGGACCCCAGTGGCAGTGAGCTGTCACCTACCAGTGTCCCTGGAAGTGTGCAGGGCTGATTGCCCGAGAGAGAAACTCCAAATTCTGCAGCGAGTCTAAGTCACTGTCCCTTCATCCCTCCTTCAAGCCCCCATTGTCACAGCTTGGGGGAGTGTCGCTCTCCTTGCCCTGCTAGGTGTCTCTAGTACGGGGGGGAGCTTCTCCCTTCACCTCACATTTCCCAGTAGCTGTGCTTTCCTGGAACAGACATGGCCTTGCTGGATCTGGGACTGAGACCAAACATGCTCACAGCAGACCTCAGAGGTCAGTTCTCCCAGACTCGGCATTGACAGTTAGGGACTGAGAGCCCAGGAGGGAGAGACTTGCTCAAGGTCACACCAGTGTCAGCCTCACCTGGCTGTGTCCTGCCTTTCACCTCCGTGTTCCTGCCACCCGGGGCCGGGGCCTACCTGCCAAGTCCTTTGATGCCCGCAGAGCCCCTGGCCAGGCACTGCAGCCGGAGCCTTTCAATGGGGTCGGTGGCCGTGGTGAGCTTTTTTCTGGCCTGGATCGCCATCTCCCTGTCATGGCGTGCGGTCCCCGCCATCTGAGAGGAAAGCCACAGCACGTTAGTGGAGCTCAGGCTCGTCACCTGCCTCTGGTGGACAGGTGACAGCAGCCTCGACGAGAAGGACACGTATAGCACGCTCTCTCATTCTCTTCCTGAGGACAGTCTCAAACCTCCCGGAATTTCCCACTTTTAGGTCCACCTGTGTGCCTGTCATATTCGTGACTTACTTCTCTAGTCCTGAGGACGCCTCGTCTCTCCAGCCTGGGAACCTTTTAAAAGTACAGCTGTTCCTCAGTGTGGCCTCCCCGACCTGTGCCTTCCTGGGGCCCTCACCCGCGGTCCCATCTCTCACCTCGTTTGAGCCAAACGTCTACGCTTTATTCTTTTATTTAGAATTCTCCCTTTTCCTTTTGTCTCCACATTTAATTTTCTCCTTTTTGTTCCAACCGTTAATGTTTGTTGCTTCTTTCTTCACCGAGATTCCCAACTTGGGGGCCTTAATGATTCCTACCAGTGACTCCTATGTTCTTGATGAACAGGTTAGTGTCCACTTAACACCCAACTAGGTTCTCAGGACACTCTCTCTCCGGAGAAACATTTATCTTTTTCCCCACCGTGTGGCTTGTGTGCTCTGAAAATTCAGAAGTGGGAGGGAGGGCGGGTGTGGTGAAGCACAGGCTGTTCGGGGGTCGGTGAGCAATGTGCAGACCCCCGCCGGCGGCCTAGGCTCTGAGGGCCCGCACACGGTGCACGCACAGCGGTGCACACACAACGGTGCATGCACAACGGTGCACGCACAACGGTGCACACGGCGCTGGGAGCCTGGACCCCATCCTAGTCCTGACTCACCAAACGCTCCAGGTGGGGAATCTCAGGCCCTCCGAGTCCTCTGTTACATAGAAGGATCGGATTAGGAGATCTTTAAGTTCTGTTCCTGTTCCCCAAATCACCAATCTTCAGATGCACTCGCTGCCCCAGTAAATGGAGCATTCCAGATATTGCTTGCTTTTTGGTGTGAGTTGTGAATGAAAAGAACAAGAGAGCTTGATGGATACACAGAGAACAGCATTCAAGGTGCAACAGTTGGTGAGATAAGGGATCCGCCTTTGACTCGAGCGCTCCCCCTACCGGCCAAATGCTGGCACTTCCCCTGAGGGCCACATGAGTATGGAATTCTGACTTGTGTCCTCTTAAGGCTGTTTTCCTCCAATACAACCTTTAAGGTCTCCCCATAAAGTTCTCATTATTTAACCTTAGAGAGGGAATCTCAGACAAAAAACAGACATGAATAGATAATTCAGGGGTGCACATGCTTAACTGCATTTCCTACAGGACCCCCCAAAACCCAGTGCCAGTTTCCCTCCCTCTTTCCCCCTTTTTCTGATGCCCATCCTAGAGGTGAGGACGGAAGTCATTATTGTCAGGTCCCTAGGATGCCAGGCCAAGAGGCAGCCTCTCCCTGTCGGGTTGCAGCTGTTCTGTCTGCCTAGAGATAGCGGAACCTTTCTTACTTCCTCCGGTGCCTAAAGCAGAGCTTCCCAGTGGTTACACACCCTCTGAGAGGCTTCCTCTCCCTCTTGTCAGGCATGTCAAGAGAGAAGGTTCCAAATACCCAATAAGGACACCTGCAGCCCGGGTCATTGCCTTCTTGGCATCATCAACTTTCTTAAAACCTGATCCCCAACTGACCGTTCCCAGAGGGTGTCCCCAGCTCCCAGCCCTAACGCCACCCCACAGAATCTCTCAGCCACAGCCAGAACCCTGTGTTCATGTACAAGACACCAATCCACCCACCCAGCCACCTCCTGCTCCCTCACTTGTCCTTGTCTGTGACATTTCCTGTCCCAATCACCCGACCCTGCCCTCCCACCATGCCCTCTTCATTATCTAAATGCACCTCAGGGTCTGCTCCTTTCTGGACCCTTTGTCTTTCTTTCCTGCCCTTTTCCCTTGCTCACTGCTACCTGTGCAATGGTTGTCCCCAACCAGTCACCTCCAGGTGCTCATTTCCTCTATTTCTCACCTGCCTTTTCCACCTTACTCCCCCACCAGCCATGGTGGCAGGTGGAGAATGGAGAGAGACGCAGACTGAAATCCCACATGGGGGAGAGAGATCTGGTGGCCATATCTGAGAGAAATGGCAGGAGAAAGAACCTCTGTGAGTCTCTTTGCACACCTTTGGAATAATATTAAAATCCCAGTTGCTCCCCCTACATGGTGAGTGTGTATACAGTCTTCACCAAAACCCTAGGAGTTGAATTGAAAACAGGGACTCAAACAAATACAGGTACATCCATGTTAATGGCCACACTATTCATAACAGCCAAAAGGGGAAACAACCCAAATGTCCATCCATACAAGAATGGATGAACACAATGTGGTACATCCATACAATGGAATACTATTCAACCATTAAAAAGAAGGCAGAGGGCTTCCAGTCAAGATGGCAGGTAGGTAAACGCGGTATCACATCCTCCCACAACCACATCAAAGTTACAAATAAACTACAGAACAACCATCATTCAAAACCGCCTGAAATCAAGCTGAATGGAAGTCCTACAACTACAAAAATAAATCAGCAGCCACATCCAGACTGGTAGGAGGGCGGAGGGGATGGGCTGGTCCCACACCCACGTGTGGCGGATAAAAATCAGGAGGCTCCCGCGGCTGGGGAGGTCCTTCCTGAGGACTGAGGGGTCCCTGTCCCACACCAGGTGCCCCACTCAGGGTTCCAGTGCCAGGAAGAGAGTCCCCATAACTTCTGGCTGGAAAACCAGCGGGAACTGAGGCTCAGGGAGGCTGAGGCGGCTGGAGCCCCAGGCAGCTCCTTAAAGGGCCCGCGCACAGACTTATCGGACTCTCTCCCTCTAAGCTCGGAGGGGAGGCAGCTCGAGGGGCACCAGAGACATACAGGGAAGAGCTGAGCTGTTTGGCACTGGAGCGAGGGCTGGAGAGGGGGCTTTCTCGGGGACAAACGTGCTGTCAGAGGCCTTTGTTCCTTTGGTGAGCCCTTCCCTGGGGCGGCAGACAGCTGCCATATCTGGGCCTCCAGCAACCTGGCTCACACTGGTAGCCCCGCCCTGGTGATTCCCTGAGGCCCCACCCCACCCAACTTTTAGGCCCACCCAAGCTGTTGCCACTTGCTTAACCATAGGATTGGCCAGTCTTGGATCCTGCTTCAGGTTTTTCCTAAATTCTTTCAAACGAGCAGCATCTGGTCTCAGCGAGCCCCATACCTCTCATTAAGTAATACACAGAAACAAACACAGGGAGGCAGCCGAAATGAGGAGACAAAGAAACAGGTCCCAAATGAAAGAACAGAACAAAACCCCAATAAAAGAACTAAGCGAAATGGAGATAAGCAACCTAACAGATGCTGAGTTCAAAATACTGCTTATAAAGATGCTCAATGAACTTAGTGAGAACCTCAGTGAACTTAGGGAGGGCCTCAAGAGCATAAAAAAGGACCAGTTAGAAATCATGGATGCACAGTTAGAATTGAAGGAGGCATTAACTGAAATAAGAATAATTTACACAGCTTCAATAATAGAGTATGTAAATCCAAGGAGCAAACCATCGATTTGGAATATAAGGAAGCAAAAAATCCCCAATCAGAACAGCAAAAAGAAAAAAGAATCCAAAAAAATGAGGATAGTGTAAGGAGCCTCTGGGACAACTTCAAGCGTACCAACATTCGCATCTTGGGGGTGCCAGAAGGAGAAGAGAGAGAACAAGATATCGAAAACCTGTTTGAAACAATAATAGCAGAAAACTTTCCTAACTTGGTGGAGGAAACAGACATACAAGTCCAGGAAGCACAGAGAGTCCCAAACAAGATGAACCCCAAGAGGTCCACACCAAGACACATCATCATCAAAATGCAAAAGGTTCAAGAAAAAGAGAGAATCTTAAAAGCAGCAAGAGAAAGGCAGCTAGTTACCTACAAGGGAGTTCCCATTAGGCTGTCAGCTGATTTCTCAAAAGAAACTTTGCAGGCCAGAAGGGAGTGGCAAGAAATATTCAGTGATGAAAACCAAGAACCTACAACCAAAATTACTCTATCCTGCAAAGCTGTCATTTAGAATCGATGGACATATAAAAACTTTCCCAGACAAGAAAAAGTTAAAGGAGTTCATCACTACCAAACCGTTATTATATGAAATGATGAAGGGTCTTTTTGAAGAAAAAGATAAAAGGTATGAACAAACAAAATGGCAATGAATATATATCTATCAACAATGGAATCTACAAACAAAATGAACAGGTAAAACAGAAACATTCTCATAGATACAGAGAACATTTTGTTGGTTGCCAGTTGGGAGGGGGGTTGGGGGAATGGGTGAAAAAGGTGAAGGGATTAAGAAGCACAAATTCATTGCTAGACTGACAAACCTCAAAGGGAAAGGGGTTGGGGGGGTGGGAAGAAATAAACCAAAGAACTTATATGCATAACCAATGGACACAGACAATAGTGTGGGAAAAGGTGGGAGGGGGGCAGGAGTGGGGAGGAGGGGGTCAATGAGGGAAAAATGTGGAACATCTGTAATACATTTCACATCCAACAATAAAGATTTGAAAAAAAAATAAAAATAAATAAAATAAAAAAGAAGGCAGTACTGATACATGCTACAGCATGGATGGACCTCAAAAACATTGTGTTAAGTGAAAGGAGACAGACACAAAATGTCACATACTGTATGGTTCCATTTATATGAAATATTCAGAATAGGAAAATTGGTACAGACAGATCAGAGTGGTTATTGCCAAGGCTTAGGGGTAGGGGCATTGGGGAGTGACTGTTTAATGGGTGTAGGGTTTCCTTTTGGAGTGATGAAAATGTTTTAGAACTTAATAAATGATTGTACAACGTTGTGAATGTACTATGCTTTTTTTTTTTAAGTTTTTTATTAATTCATTTTTGCTACAGATGTTTCTCCTTTTTCCTTCACTGACACCCTCCTCCTGATTCCCCTCGCCCCCCGCCCCGTCCCCAGCATTGTTGTCTATGTCCATGGTGGTGCATACATGCATATAAG